TCCTGGTCCAGAGTCTGGGTCTGAGTCCTGGACCAGAGTCTGGGTCTGAGTCCTGGACCAGAGTCTGGGTCTGAGTCCTGGACCAGAGTCTGGGTCTCACTCCTGGTCCACAGTCTGGGTCTCACTCCAGGACCAGAGTCTGGGTCTGAATCCGGGTCCAGCAGAACGTCCATGTTTGGATCAGCCTCCTGTTTGGTTCTAATGACCTCAGATGTTTCAGAACATCTGCAGGTTCTGAGCAACAGAACCACCTCTGATGTCCGGGTTTGGGTCTTCTGAATGGCCCGGTTCTGCTCAGAACAGCTTTCAGAACCACCAAAGGTTCCACTAAACTGAGTTGATTTGGACCTTCTTTTTATGAGAATAGACTGTTCTGGTTGGGTGAAATGGATCATTGGGAAGATTTGGAGGTTGTGGTTCTGGTTAGACTTGCTGTGGTTCTGACTGTGTTCTGTCCTTCAGTCGGGTCAGAACCAGAACTCTTGAGATCCTCAAAGGATCAGATCTAAGATTCTTCTTAGTTTGGGTTTTGGACCTAAATTGGTCTCCTCCCTGTGGTTCTGTCTCAGGTTCTGTCTCAGGTTCTGTCTCTGGTTCTGTCTCTGGTTCTGTCTCAGGTTCTGTCTCAGGTTCTGTCTCAGGTTCTGTCGGAGGCGGTCCGTTTCTCGGTTCTGTTATTAGCTGAACAAGAATGAGGACTTCAGCACCTTCAGGATTAGGGCGGATTATTTTTAGCCTCGTGGTGCGTTCAGGGACCTGTGGCGGTGCCGAGGGGGGTGGATGTTGCTGTGAAACCGGGTCAGAGGCTGAACCTGTGCTACAGAACCAAACCAGCCCAAAGTCTTGGTGCTGTTTGTGACCAGAACCGATCAAACGGATCAGAACACGGAGAGTAAAAGAGTTGATTCATAAAAACTGAACTTTTCTTTATTTCACTCAAAACGTCAGAACGTCCCCCAGAGAGTCCCAGTCCTGTTTGGACCTGCAGCCGAGCCTTCAGAACCAGCAGAGTCTACACGGGTCACAGGAAGTTCTGTTAACCGTCTTTCTGTCTTCCTCCACCCAAAGTGTCTCTGCTGGAGGACTGATGGTGTCCTCTCAGAGGTCAGAGGTCACACACTCAAACTCCCATTGACTGCCAAACAGGAAGTGAAGGTCTTATGTCCTCCATCAGACCCTGTAGAACCTTCAAACAGAACCTGTGGTACTGTCAGAACCTCCTGGTGCTCACGGGTCAACAAGTTCTAGTTTTCACACAGACTGTTGGTCTGAGGCTCACTTTTTACTCTGCAGTTCTGTCTGAAGGGCTGCTGGGTGCTGCCCCTCGTCACCATGGCAACTCGGCAGGTTTTGTGTCTTCTATATTACCCAGCATGCTCTGTTTCCAACATGGCCGCCCCCACAGAGCCTTCGTGTGGTCTCTGGTCGGACCTCAGGAGGATTCAGTCAGAGGGTCGCAGGAAACAGGAAGTGGACTGAACCTGGACTTTCACAATAAGAGTCTGTCCCAGCTCAGATCAGACGTCAGCTGACCTGACGAGTTTATTTAGACAGATTGAAGCGTTCCGGACCGGTTCTCCAGGTCCAGATGTTGGTCTTTGATCCTGTGTAGAACCTGAGGGTTCCCTCAGAACGTCTGGGTTCTGTTTGTGGAAACTGGGTCATCCTCGGTCCAATCGGTTCATCGATCAGAGTGAAGCTGATCGATGAACGTTCTGCTGCATCAAGCCCGCGCTGTGACCCACATTCTGACAGAACCTGCAGAACCACCGAGGAGCGGAGGGGAACCAGAACCTCGGTTCTGTTCTTTCAGATAAAAAAGTTGTTCTTTAATTTATAACAAAATAAAACCAACTGTTCACATTCTGGAAGGTTCTGGTTCTGCTCAGGGTTCTGTTGTTCTTTGGCTCAAACCACAAACAGAACCCAGACTTTAGTCCTCCCTGGTTCAGCTGGTTCTGAACCAGGGAGGTCTGTCCTCTGAGGTCCAGCAGGACTCTGGATGTCCTTTAACCTGGGACTGAGTCAGACTCTTATTGCAGAGGATCTCTGATTTATTTTGAAACTCCAGGTTCAAACCTGGAAACTCGAGCGAAAGAATAAATCCGGTCCAAACCACCCTGTTACCATAGAAACAGATGACCCATTGACTGACAGGTTTCTATGGCGACGAGCTGCATCATGGTTGTTTGAAGTGTGCCGGCCGATCCCAGATCTGTTGATGGGACCAGAACCTCCTGTTTGTCTGGAACCGTTCGATGGACTTTGACCAGGGAGGGTTCCAAACAGGAAGTTACCTGCAGAGTGTGGATCTGGGTCTGTGAAAAACATGCCCAGGACCGGTTCTGGTGGGACACATTCTGTTCAGCATGTTCTGTTCAGACAGTGTCAGGAGCCAATTCAGGTTCTGGTTGAGAAAAGTCTCCTGAAGGACTGGGTCAAAAACTGGAGCAGAACAGTAAAACCCGAGTCCCCAGAACCTCCTGGATCAGCGAGAACCCTCAGCAGTGGTTCTGATCCAGGGATTCTGGACCACTCGGCTTTCCAACCCTCCTTTGGTTCTGTGATGTCCCACACAGAACAGGACCTTCAGGCTGCTTCTGGCCTGATCCAGAGTTCTGGGAGGAGAACAGAAACCAAAGAACACTGTTAACGCCGATATCAGCTAATTTCAGCTGATATCAGCTGAAATTAGCTGATATCAGCTGAAATTAGCTGATATCAGCTGAAGCAGGTGAGCTGTTAAAGCGAAAAGAAGCAGAGCTCTAGCTAAAGGCTTTAAATAGTATTAACTAAAAGTAAAACATTGCTAAAAACTAATTAGCAGACAGTTAGCTAAAAGTAACAAAACACTATAAAAGCTGAACGTATTAAGTGGCTAGCTAAAAGCTACCAGTAGCTAAAGAGGACAACAGAACCAGCAGCTGAAGCTTATTTTAAAGAACAAAGTTTCTGAAGGAGCCGAAGAGATCTGAATGTTTCTGTTTGGGAAACTTTAGAAAATAAAGTTAAATATTTCCTAAAGTCCCAGCACCCACCTCCTGAACGAGCCGAACGTTCTGAACGTTCTGCTTCTAAAAATAGGTTTCTTCGGTCTCCGATCTGAATCACGCTCAGGTTCTGGACTTTGACCGGACCGTTGGTTCTGTTCTTTCTGACCCGTGCTCTTGTAAATACCTGCTGTGTTTGGGATCATGGTCCTGTTGAACCAGTTCTGGTTCAGAGATCTGCTGACTTCTTTTAATCTGAAGCGGATCAGAACCTCAGGTTCAAAATGACCGTGTGCTTTTACTTTAAAACAAAATCAGCTTTTAATGTGAAACTGTTCAAACAGGAAGTCACTTTCAGTCAAGCCATTCAGGTGTCTTTACCTGAAGCTGCAGAACGGATCAGAACCAGGGAACAAAGCCACTGAGTTTTAATTCCACAGAGGAAAGAGGATTGAGGGGATTTACACACACACTAATCCCCCCCCCCCCCCCGGGGGCTGAACAACATGTTCAGGTAAACAAGAAAACAACGAGCAGGGAAAACAGCCGATTTGCTGTTTCTCAGTGAACCTGAACGCCTCCATTGTGTAGCTGTGTGTATCAGCGGGGTGGACGGGTGTTTGTGTCAGTGGGAGGAGACAGGAAGTGGCTTCCAGCATCTCCACAGAGAACAAACCCATTAAAAGTTGGATCAGTGACCCGTTTGACTTTTGACCTTCACTTCCTGTCAGTTATGGAGTGGAAGGAAAAACAAGACTAGACGGCTGACGGGAACCTGGAAGTTGAAGCTGGAATGGGACCAGCCTCCAAAAATATTGATCTCAGGAACACATAAGGTGTAAGCTCCGCCCCTTTTTGGTAGAAAATGAAAGCTCCGCCCCTTTTAGGAGAAAACAACCCCTCCTATTTGACTGGTGGTAAAAGTGACTCCTGATGTTTAAGAAAACAGACTATCAATATTAGCTTTAGATTTATTTAAATACAGGACTAAAGTTTCTGATGAAACAAACGGCGCCACCCGGTGGCCTGATGTGGTGTTAGCTGAATCTTCATCAAACTCTTCAGCTTCAGTTTAATGATCTTTGGGTCAAAGCTACAAAAACAAATCCTTATTTTACAGCATGCTAACTAGCATCATTAATGTTGGGTCAGCCAGCAGCTCCAGAGTCGTTGCGCTTGTGTCTTGGCCACAGAACCTCGGCTGTACGGGTGCTTTCATGTTTCCAGCGAGCAGAACCACTTGGACCCGTCAGCTGTTGGTTCTGTTGATGTAAGGTCTGTGTGGTTTCTCCCTGATGGATGCCTTGCAGGTTTTTGTCCTCCGCTCTCGGATACGGTCCGGTTGTCATGGAGACGGGTCATCCTGGGAAAAGTAATCACTCGTGTCCGAGGCCCGGTCCGGGTGTAAATCAGCACCGAGGTTCTTTTGTATTCTGAGTTTTAATCTTAAGCTGGACGGGTTCCAGGACATCCAAGACCGGTTCTGATCCATCTGAGGAGCTGTTCAGCTTGGACTCAGTCACAGGATTGAAAAAGGCTCTGCAGTTGGATCAGAACCGTCTGTCAGGTGCTGCTTGTTCAAGTTCTCCGTGAAGCAGAATGAAGGTGAGTTTGAGTTGAAGTGAAAACAAAAAGTTCAGATCAATTCAGAAACTTCTCAACTTCAAACTGAGACTAAATAAAAAAATAAACGATTTCAGTTTCAATTTATTTATTTATTACAATTTAAACTGGTTCCATTTGGGTCCAGCGTGGTACCATCTGCAGGCGTCACATGATGGATCGTGTAAGATCCGATCGAAGGTTTCCTGAACAACACTTTGTTCTAAAGCACGGAGGCGGCTGCATCGTGATGTGGTGCAGGGAGCGCAAACAACCCAACATGATTTCAGGTTTGGTCAGTATCCTACCTGTTTCAGATGGTTCTCTGAGCAGACTCCGTTTGAGTCTGACGGGACTGATGAGCTGCTGGCTAGTCTGAACGGAACCTGTCGTCTTTGAACAGATTAGTTTGATTGGAACGCCCGATTAAAAACCTTTCAGCCACCAGCAGCTTCACACAAGCTACAGCTAGCTGCTGCTGCTGGTGGTTGGACAGAACCGTGTCGTGCGAAGTCGCTGTTAGTTTCTAAACTTTGATGAGATCAAAGACGCAGCAATCTGCTTTGATCTGCGGGAGAACTCGCTCAGCTCAAACTATTGATCCACAGCAGGTAAGACATTTATAACTTTTATTAAAAACTTTTAAAAGTTTAGTGCTGGGTTGTTTAGCTCTCTCTGGCCCACATCATGGTGCCACCCCCTCCGTGCTTCAGAACAAAACTCTCTGGACATGGAAAGTTCAGGGAACCTTCATTTGGATCGGCTTAAGAACAAAACAACCGGAGCGTCTGAAGACCTTGTGTCAGTGTTCTGCTCGGACCCGGTGGACGGTTCTGGTTGGTGTTCTCTGACTGATGTTTGTGTTGCAGCAGGATGAACGGATCAGAACCTCCAGGTTTCTGCGGCGCCGGCGTCGTCGACTCCTATGGCTCAAACATCAAGTGAGTCATATGATGATGATGATTAGTAAGGTGATGTGAATGAGGAGGATGATGATGATGATGATTAGTAAGGTGATGTGAATGAGGATGATGATGATGATGATTAGTAAGGTGATGTGAATGAGGATGATGATGATTAGTAAGGTGATGTGAATGAGGAGGATGATGATG